CTCTCTCTCTCTCTCTCTCTCTCTCTCTCTCTCTCTCTCTCTCTCTCTCTCTCTCTCTCTCTCGACTCGACGTAATCCCCGCGGAAGTGGCGATCGCGAGTTGCGTCGATTATTAGCGCTTACGCTGCACCATTCGCGGGAGTCGCTATTGCTATTGCCGCGACGCCACCTACAGTTGCACACACATACACACACATACACACACACACACACACACACACACACACACACGCACACTTATGCACACGAGCGCGCGCTTTCGACGGAGAACCTTGGCGGATATGACGCGTCTGCTACTTTCCACGAAAATGGACGCTTTAAGCGCGTCGACGACGACACGCCGAAACTACACACTGCATCACGCGTATTCGCATGCACCGCGAAGAAATCGCCAGGCGGACCCGTGTGTTGTATGTATGTGTTTATGTGTGTGGGTGTACGCGCGTACACGCGTAGAAAGTGCACCTTAAGTGCCGTTCGCGAAGCCGATTCGCCAGCTTTGCTTAAAGTGTCTCTGTTTCGCTGACTCGGACAACATGTTGTTCCGTACTGGCCGTCTGCACGTTCCGTGCATCCAGATAACACCCGTCGATTCACTAACCTACCTCACTCCTCTCTACAGGGTGGTCCAAATTATGCGCGCCACGCTCCGCCGAGCTCGTCGAGCGCTACTCAGCCGTTCGTGTAGGAGCAATCGACCGGTCGAGCACACGCATTTCAAAGGTCGAAGTGACCTCTTATGAGCGCGGATAACTTCAAAATCTCATCAGCCAGCCAGCCTGTCTTTGATATCGAGAAAGACGGGAGGAAAGGTATCTACAAATAATGCGCAATACTTCTACAAGGTAAAGTGACCAAAAACTCCATTTGTTAAGGAAATTATCTTGTACTGATATACATGGGCTACCACCAGATACATATTATTACATTCTTATGATAACATTTTTTTCGGCATGAAACTGCAATGCAAATTACGTTCAACTAAACTGCACTGGCAGAAAAAATTTGTGGATTTAACTAAAATTATAGTTTTACCTTTGGCCCTAATCATATCTTTTGTAGTAAAATAGTAGTAGTTATATGCATATAAAGTTATTATGATAATATTATAGTAAAATTTAATTGAAAAATGGTTTTTTATCAGAATTTGTAGTAATTATTTCTCCACGTGATTATAGCTACAAACATTTATTTTTCAGTGTGAAAGAAGAGAGATCTAAAAAGTAAATAATATTTATTCGATGGGTACTAATTTGTTTGTACTAATATATATTTTTACATATATATATATATATTTTTTATGTTGAAAAAACATTTCTTTCGAGTGAGAGAATATATAGTTTTCTAAAACTATTGCATTTTTCATGAAAGCAATTTTTTATTCTATTTAAATAAAATAATTTTGTTTGAAGTAAATGTTATTAGTATCTACACCGAATAAATATTTTTTTTATTTTTCAGATATTTTTTCTCTCCGAGAAATAAATGTTTGGAAATTTATTTGTGGAATATAAAGCTTATTCACAGATATAAAATTTGTTCACAGAAATAAACTTTATATCCCACAAATAAATTTTCAAGTATTTTTTCTCAGTGTATGTATAGGTTCATCGGCTTGTCAAAAGAACTTCACGGAAGTGCTCTTCCGATTGTATTGGGTTTGTTTTCCTAATTCGCAAAGCACGAAACAAGAGCAACAGTAGCGTCTTCGCGAGATCGGCATTAATTAGCGGAATTAGTTCCAAGTCATCGTTAGTCCCGCTCGCGCTCTCAACACTTTGCCGCTCGAGTTTCTCGATCGATTTCATTCGTCGCGTCGTCGATTTCACGGAAACACCGCGCGATGCACAGTACGCGTTTCATTGTAACGAGCGGTATAATTAAATGGCGACACGAAATCTCATGATCTCGCACGACGCAAAAGACACATGTAGTATCGATCACAACAGCGCGGCGACCGCAGCAACGACGCAATTTCATCATCGCTTCCGACCTGCTACGAAACTGCTATATAATTATTACCGTGTATTAGCCTCGCTAATGCGTTCGCACTGCTTTTCCACGTAAATTTGTCCTTCTCCGATAAGAAAATCGTCGTTTAAGACATAGTTTATATGCCGTTTTGCATACTTTCCGTGTCCAATGCTATGTTGTTCTTTGCGAAATGGGATACGCGCTGCGATAGAATTTGTGCTTCTTGGACGCCGTTGAGAGATATTTTGAAAGGGAGAGAACCCGAGTGCTCTTGGATATATTCGTGAACAAATACTCTTAGCTCGGAATAAGTTTCTTGAAAAAATGAGCGATGGAGTTTCATGATAATTCTTTAGAAGAGGAAGACAGTTATTTAATAATACACTCATATATAATTTCCTAAAATATTAATATAAGAATACTCATGATAAGCAAAGATCAGAACTTTAATGACCTTAATATTTGAAGGAACATCTGCTTTGCGCACTTTAGATTATCTATAATTCACGACGGAATTTGAAGCGGAATTCTGTTCGATTTATTATACGATTTCTGTATCACATCGCGCATAAAATTACAAATAGAATTCTCTCACGATTTCTATCGCGAATTATAGATCAGCTGAAGTGATCTGGAGAAATAATGAAACGAACGGCAGCCAAGTGCAAATCGTTATTCGGATATCCAGTGACGTTACTAAAATTTCTTAAGTAGATTTACTAAAAAATTAAAGCATCCAATTCAATTATCTTGCTGAACCCACTTAAGATTTATCACTCGATATTTTTTGGCAACACTTAACAGCAATTGCCGAATTACTGGTACTGCAGTAGTGACGATATCTGGTCTCCAACCAGAGTGTAAATGATAAGTGTCATTCCAACCGATTTTTTATTGCCACAACCAGATCATGCGTGATTACGTTAATTAATATGACTCGGTTATACCAAAATATAATCATATCATACATGTATCATATACATATATCATACATATTATCATTGCATAAAGATAACTAGGACAATGCAACTATGCTGCTTATAACATAAAATATTTGCAATCATGCGCTGAAAAAAGATGTTTGGTATTTGCAACTACAGTCATATGAAGAAACAGTTATTATAAATTATGGTGAAGAGAAAAAAACATTTTTTTATTAAATTTTAATATAATACTAATGATAATAACCTTATACTCAAAGACTAACAAATAAACCTACCCAGGTACATTCCGATTTCTTTCTAATTTGGCACAAATATAAAAGTACAAAATATAAAAATATAAAAATATAAAAGTACAAAAAATATTTAGGTCATATTTTTTCATTTTGACCCACTTTGAGTTTCACGGGCAATTTATAGCTTTTTAATATTCTTATTCCCATCATCAACAAGTACAACAAAAATGCATAAGAAATAAAATTAAATATAAAATCCTATTTAAATAATTTTAACAAAATCGGCAAAGTGTAGACGCCGAACCATTTTAAATTTCTCTAACCGAAATTCCAATCAAAATATTTTAAATCTGTGCTGAATTAGTCAAAAATGGTTCGAATTTCAGCCAAACCAAAAAAATCTGGCAATTTTAATTAAAATTTTAACAAAATCGACATAGCTGAGACACGAATCATTCTAAATTTCTTTAGCCGAGATTCCAATCGAAATATTTCAAATCTGTGCTAAATTAGTCAAAAATGGTTCTCGACCAAACCGAGAAATTATTTGTATAAATAATTTTTTTCAACTTTTTACATGTTTTGTTTAAACATTTTATTATTTACACAAATAATTTTACATTTGACTTCATATTCATAATCAGCAAACCAAAAACGACTATATCTTATATTTAATTTTATTTCTTAATCATTTTTGCACTTGATGATAGGAGCGAGAACATTAAAAAGCTATAAACTGCCCGTATAAACTCAAAGTGGGCCAAAATGAAAAAATATGACCTAAATATTTTTTGTACTTCTACATTTGTACCAAATTAGAAAGAAATCGGAATGTAACTTTTAGGTAGGTTTACTTGTAAGACAATAACAGCGTTCAGAGTTACGTGCATGTCTAGATATTGATACTTTTACTTTATGTTCCGACGATAACGAGCGCGCGCTACTTCACCGCACACATACACATGTGTCCGAATTAATCCCGCAGTTCTCGGGATAAAGCTGGAATTTCACGTTTCATCATACGGCGGTGCATTACTTATCAGAAGGCCGCGATAGCGAAAGGTACACGCGACGTTAAGAAGCACACATCCAGATAAACGAAGAAGGACGCGACGCGTTTCTTCACGTCGGGAAGTGTGGCGATTTAATCGAGATACGAAATATTCACACGTTCCGCTTGATCGCAGGATAACTCATTGAGATGTGTCGCTCGTGCGTCCAACTGTCAACCGAGTCGTGCATCTTCTGAGGCAACGTGTAGAACGTCGCGGTTAGCATTATATGTACAGGTGTTACTGCACGCGGTTGTGCGGTGTGCATACACGGCGAAAAAAGAAGCGGTATATTCGTGTGCGAGTATCCGGGCAATTAAGAGTGCACTTCTCTTACGCTGATAATATTTTCCGCGAATGTGGTGCGCGACCGACGCACACACGGCTTTTTCGCGATTAGCTAACGCCGCGACTCCCAAGACGCGCGCGCGAAGAAGCATCTGGCACTCCGACTTCTTCTCCTTCCCCTTCTTCGTCTTCGTCCGTCACCGCGCCAACCGATCATTAAACAAGGAGAAACGCGCTATGCATCCTTGGGTTAAATTATCGATACGACGCACGACACCACCGTCGCATACTGATCGTCGTAAGCCAGATTAATGGAATTCTATTGGGAGCAGACGCGCGTCGTTGGCCGCGCGTCCGGGAGACGACCTTATCAGCGCGCTATTTCGGTGGCGATGATAACGTCACTCGAAGCGCGTCGGCGACGTCGATCCATCGCCAGGGCTGCCAGGTGCAGATCCTGAATTCCGACATTCGCTCGCCTCGCCTCGCCTCACCTCGCCTCGCCTCGCCTCGCTCACTCGCGCACGCTCGTGCGCGTGTTCGTGCGATAAAATCGGCGCACTGAAATAATGCTCTTTCGCAGTCTCCGACGGAAGTACCGTGACGAGGCCGGTTTATGTGTGCCATCGAGTCGCGGGAAATCCACTGTTTCGCAATGTCTGAGCGGGTGACCGAAAACAGCCCTCGTCTTTGTCCTGCGCGTCGATTTTCGCATATTTTCGCGATGTCGCGGTCGATCGATCGGTCGTACCGTGCGCGCGATTACGTCATTAAGGGATACGATAAATTCCCTGGTGCAACAAATGCGGCGCGCATACGCGCAAATATTCCGCCGTGAAATCACGAATTTCGTATCGCGCACGACACTACAATGTGCTATTAAACATATCGCATATTGCCTTGTTTGCGTACGCGTTACCTTTGTCACTCGTTGCGGAGGAAGGAGTGACCGAATGCAATATTATTATCGGAATTTTCCCGTCTGGCAGAAAATTGATTGCGAATCTCGCGCGGTCGCGCATTATCACGGTATATGCATTATTTTTTGGTTCTCGCGCGTTCTCGAGCCTCACTTGACAGAGAGAGAGAGAGAGAGAGAGAGAGAGAGAGAGAGAGAGATTTGAATTTAATATCAGTCGCCACACAAAAACGCTCGTCTCGACATTGGAAGATTTCCGATTATAACAAGTTTACATTGTGAACGTTTAGTTTGCGTTTCTTCGCGCGCCTCGCGCGATTATAATATTCATAAGAATTCATCGTAAGAACATTCCTGAATGTTTAATACAAAGCTGTAATGTTCATTCCGCGAGGCTATATGTGTCAGACGCTACTGACAGCAAGAGGGACTGTT